AAAAGTAGTCAGAATGTAAATTAGAGCATGCAATGAATAATGAACATAAATATGAATGCTAATTATGGAAAAATATCTAACAGAGACATGAATATTAAATTCCTCATACTTTATAGGATGTAAATGAACATGACTTGTACATGATTCATGACATTGATTTTATATTAGGTTGGGTATCGAGAAGTGCATATAAAAAAACACAAAAATGTTCTTACTAACACATACTGAATATAGCATGAATAAGATTTTTAAAATTTGACAATTTTTGGCTTTTTTATATTCGGTTGTGTATTTTTTAATTCGTCGTCACTTTCATATAGAGTTATTTCATCATCAACACTGACATGTTCGAGTTTATTATTATGATCACAACCACTGACAGATCCAGTTAACCGATAAGCATTAACTTCCCCTTTAATTCGCCTTTCGGGGCAATCTCTTTATAGTGGTCAACTGAACCACAAAGTTTACAGCAACCACCATTTGGATAAAGTCCTCTAGGATTGGTCGGGCAAGTTTTCGAAAGATGACCTTCTTCCCTACAAATAAAACATTTTGCGAATGCAAAACATTTCCATTTTGTATCTTTGCAGTACATGTATGCGACTTATGTTCAGTTGAACCACACTTGAAGCAAATCCCTGTCCCCTGCTCATTATCTTGCTGCAATTTAGGACAGTCTGCCATTCCATGTCCGGGCATTCGACAGTGAAAACAAACCATACCATCTATTTTACGCCGATGTCTCTTGACTCTCCTATTTTCTGATCTTTTATTCTTCTTGATCGCAACTTTTTGGACAGCATTCCTTTGTACATTTGAAATCGATTTCTGAGAATCGACTCTGAATTTAGTACTTTGATGGCCAGCAAGGTTAGAATTTGAAGCACGTTTACTCCCAATATCTTCCCACTTTGAGCCTTGTTCAACCTTTTGGCCATTCTTAGATCTAGCCCACCTCGTCATACTTGAATAAAACTTTTTAACCCTTCCAAATGGATTATATGTAGCTAAAAGAATATTAACCATGGTCAACAATTTAAGGCTTCCGAATTCACACCAATTTCAGAATTTTAATGCAAAATAAATTATGGTATTGCTTTGTCAGGATATGATTTCCATATTTCAGTATTTAGCTACGGAGGTGAGGAGTTTAATGATCATTTCATACATAATTGCTTTTGGCACACTATGCAAAGTGTCAAGAATACAACTGTCACAGCACCAACGATCACCCTGTCTGGGTTGGAATCCTGTAGGAAATAATTATCTGCGAGAGGATACTGGACTCTTTGTCATGGTAAGGTGGTTCACCAGATTTACTCCACAGAACTCACCTGTGGTCAATGGGTTAACCAACTATTTTACTCACTTTATAAACGTTATTTCAGAAAACTCCATAATACACACAATTTATAAATTGAGAATGCCAGAGCGCAAGAGCAAAACATTTAAACCAACTCAACAACACACACACACACACAAACCTTGGGTCAGAAATAAACGTATTGAAACGATGAAATTTTGAAACTTAATACCGGTACCGTACAACCGAAAACTCCGATGTTCATACCTCAAGTCCAGAAGTCCGTAAACTCAAATTGTCATGTCAAAATTTCCGCTACCAGTAAGCTACGGTACAGGTATGTCCCTATTAAAATGGCTACCGGAATGTTATGCTTTTGCCTACATGGCGAGCATAGCCATTTTATAACTAGCCGTACACAAAGACAGAAAGACGTACGGTATTTTCTGCGATTCTGTGGGTCCGAATTTCGATCTACAGACAGACAGGAGATTCTGCTGCTCAACGCTCAACGATATCCGTGATAAACCACGTGACTGTATATTTGGAGTTCCAGTTGTCCATTCCATACTGACAACACTAAAAGGCTGAAGGAAGAAACGGATGAAGTGGAGGAAAAACGGAAGTTGAAGTGTTCCCAATGGTGAAAAATTGAAAACACTAAAAGGCTGAACACTGGAAGAAGTGGATGAAATTATTCCACGAATAATGAGGTGTTGAAGTCACTAAAAAGCTGAACACTAAAAGGAAGAAGTTGATGAAATTTCTTCCGACGAATAATGAGGTAGTTGAAGTCACTAAAAAGCTGAACACTAAAAGGAAGAAATGGTTGAAATTTCTTCCGACGAATAATGAGGTGGTTGAAGTCACTAAAAAGCTGAACACAAAAAGGAAGAAGTGGATGAAATTTTTCCCGACGAATGATGAGGTGGTTGAAGTCACTAAAAAGATGAACACTGAAAGGAAGAAGTGGATGAAATTTCTTCCGACGAATAATGAGGTGGTTGAAGTCACTAAAAAGATGAACACTGAAAGGAAGAAGTGGATGAAATTTCTTCCGACAAATAATGAGGTGGTTGAAGTCACTAAAAAGATGAACACTAAAAGGAAGGAGTGGATGAAATTTCTTCCGACGAATAATGAGGTGGTTGAAGTCACTAAAAAGATGAACACTAAAAGGAAGAAGTGGATGAAATTTCTTCCGACGAATAATGAGGTGGTTGAAGTCACTAAAAAGCTGAACACTAAAAGGAAGAAATTTCTTCCGACAAATGATGAGGTGGCGTAGGTCACTGAAAAGCTGAACACTAACAGAAAGTGGATGGAATTCCTTCCGACGGGTGGTGAGGTGGCTGAGGTCACTAAAAAGCTGAACACTATAAGGAAGAAGTACGTTAGGGTTAGATGATATTTTGTCCTATCAATTTTGAGGCGGTTGAAATCACTAAAATACCGAACATTAGAAGAGTTAAATAGCCAAAACACATCCCGACGGAAGTGAGATTGGATGAAGACCCTGAAAGCGGACTGATGAGTAGGCATGTCACTTTTAGATTTATGAATTGAATCGATTCAAATCGCAATTTTTTTCGAATCTGATTTACGCGATTCGAAAGAAAGAGAGCCGTTTAGCGAAGAAAAACAAACACTCCAAATAACACCAATTGCCAGACAGGGAATGTAAATAAATTTTTCGTTATTTACTTTTATTGATCTGTCTTCATTCATTTTCATGTTCAGCGCAACACACCCTGATCATCACTCGAGATGCTGACGTGCTGTGTGGGTAATTAATTTCCTTCAATATGTCAGTTGAGTATTCCACTGAATGATCTCTAAGTTTCTATCACACGCAAATTTAAATGGATCGTATACCCGAAAGTTCGTTGCAATTTTGTTAAAAATATGCAACAGCACATCTTCTCTGCGACTAAGTTATGATACGCCTTGACATGAATTGATAAACGATCAGATACCGACTTCTAGAAAACATTTAATTTTGATTGAAATTCAATTTAAACTCCGTTGAAATTGAAATATTGGTACTACTCTGAAGTACGCGCACCAAGATGTGGCACAACCTGATCCCTAACCTCGTACACCAGTGATTTTCAACCTTTTTTGTATCGCGGAACACTTTTCTTATTCTAAAATTGTGACAGAACAACAAATGAGATTTTTGGAAATAAACTATATTATGCAATTAACTGACATCGATCATTCCGGAATAAAATAAATTAACGAAATTAATAATAGCTTGTCAACTTCAGCTGGAAAAGACGTTACACATATTCCGATTCGGAGCTAGGAACAGAAATGGTATTTTAATGTAATATCTGGGCCTGTTTCGAAAAGTTTCAATATTTTATTCTGTCTGGAATTTAATTGAGAGAGACAAACACGCAGCTCTTACTCGATGACTCTCAATTTTTCGTGTTTTTTATACTCTTATGGCGGCCAAGAAAAGGGTGGGCAAAAATATTTTTTTCGAATCAAATAATTCGAATATTCTTAACAAATACCGAATAGTCCAACACCGAATATTTTTTATACGCAGCAGGTCCAGAACGTCGCCGCCATGGATCGCCGTTGTATTTTGTAAATACGAAAATAGGAATCAAAAATTAATAATAATCGCGCAGTTGACCACACATCTATGTACATAGATTGCCGTGGTATTGTGCCCGAATATAATTAATTTTTGATTCCGTTTTTCATTCCTTAATATCTGTTTTTATAAATTTTGCAAGCAGTTCACGCACGAAGACTTTGAATAATGATGTATTAGTCAAATCGAAGTCCTGTTAGACCACTGGTTTTCAACCAATGGGCCATGGGCCACTGGTAAGCCTCAGAGGCATTTTGAGGTGGGCCACAAACATATTATAAATTACAAGGTTTGTTGATCAGCTTCACGCGTCATGAAAAACAAGATATCTATTTGCAAAACATGTCTCGCCGTAACCCACCCATTGTGGCGCAACATACCCATTATACGGCAGGAACAGCTAGATATGAATATATATATAGTAATTTGTTTGCACATTACATCAAAATTAAAAAGAATATAACGAGAATGTCATGGCCTTCAATATTCGCCAGGCCAGGCGTCGAACTGAGCATAACATATAAAAAGTAAACAAAAAACGAATCCACGAGGACATTGTCTCATAAATACGAACAGAACAAACATTAAATTACCCAATTCCTAATATATTAAATTTTCAAGTATTCCTCACTATCCGTCGGAAAAAATTTCATCCACTTCTTCCTTTTACTGTTCATCTTTTTAGTGACTTCAAACACCTCATTATTCGTCGGAAGAAACTTAATTCACTTCTTCCTTTTAGTATACAGTTTTTAGTGACTTCAAACACCTCATTATTCGTCGGAAATTTTTTTCTATCCACTTCTCCCTTTTAGTGTTCAGCTTTCTAGTGACTTCAACCACCTCATTATTCGTCGGAAGAAATTTCATCTACTTCTTGCTTTTAGTGTTCATTTTTCAGTGACTTCAACCACCTCATTATTCGTCGGAAAGAATTTCATCCCCTTCTTCCTTTTAGTGTTCATCTTTTCAGTGACTTCAACCACCTCATTATTCGTCGGAATAAATTTCATCCACTTCTTCCTTTTAGTGTTCAGCTTTTTCGTGACTTCGACCACCTCATTATTCGTCGGAAAAAATTTCATCCACTTCTTCCTTTTAGTGTTCAGCTTTTTAGTGACTTCAACTACCTCACTATTCGTCGGAAAAAATTTCATCCACTTCTTCCTTTTAGTGTTCAGCTTTTTAGTGACTTCAACCACCTCATTATTCGCCGGAAGAAATTTCATCCACTTCTTCCTTTTAGTGTTCAGCTTTTTAGTGACTTCAACTACCTCATTATTCGTCGGAAAAAATTTCATCCACTTCTTCCTTTTAGTGTTCAGCTTTTTAGTGACTTCAACCAATGAGCATAGATACAATGAGTGGAAACTTTCAAAGATTTGCTCATTATGGCATTGTTCCCTGCATTTTTTACGTCGTCCAGCTAAATGGTTCGTTGCATATTAAGAAAACGCATTGCTCGCTGCCAAAATCCCTTGCTTCAGCCAATGACATTAAACAACATGATGCGCAACTCCGGCATTTTTGTCCGAAGATCGTATTCGATAGCACGCTCCAATGCACATACTTGACGAGACGAAAACGAGCGGATGTGTGCTGCTTTCGAGGCGTAGCACGAATGGTGTTCGTGCCTGCTTTGACAGTTGTTGTCGATTTTAATGATATTTTTGAAAGTTGGGGTAAAAAGAAATCGGTAAAAGGTAAGGTGAATACTATTGTTGTATATCACACCCGGGCATCGCACTGTTAAGTACATGTGGGAAAGCCAGCCTTTGTCAAATACTACGAAGTTATTAATTCAGTACGGTACGTAGTTGCCCATTTGCCGAAATTACATATTGACTTACCCCTTATGGTTTCAAATAGTTCATGCACCTCCAGTTAGATTTTTTTAATCAGTGAGGATATATACTCATTGTTGATTGCTGCTCATTGTAACATACTATTACGCATTCACTTTTATTTGCGTATTGAATCAAAGTGTTAACAAGTTCACCTAACATTTCACTCATACCGGTCTATATTGTATAGTCTGCTTTCTCAAGCATTTGGAGCCACGAATGCTTGTAATTTTCTGACTAAACCCTTTTATTAGTTGGTTTATATACCAAATTCAGTAAAATATTTTTTAAATAAAACATGAGATATTGGATTTATTAGCTTTTTCATTCTGAATCATATAGACTGCTTTATTTATTCTTAACGAAAATTAATAAATCTCCTCTTTTTCTTCAGATGTGAAAGTTGTGGACAAACCTGTCTAAGCATTGTGAGACTCTTGCAGCACAAGAGGCAATAGCAGAAATAGTAAGTATATCAATCAAGAAATTAAGCCGACATAAAGCAAAACTTTCAACTATTCGTCTAATCTCAATTTCCTATTATTTATTCACAGGACAACTATAGCAGACGGGGAGATATCAGAAGTCTGGCGACATATCAATGACAGTGAGATTCCAAGAAATATAATGCAATTGAAAATAGAAAATTGCAATAGAAAAACAACCTATGGAGGCATGCAAAGACATTTGACCCTCCGGTAGAGTTGTGTATGGCCCCCACATCCTGCAGGGCTTGAGGAAAATAACTAAAAATTCCAAAGCGTAAGATTGCATAAGCGGTCTTATTTGTAAAAAGGCACAAAACACGCCAGACATACTTAAAACAGCTTTGGAAATGAGGATTACGGGTACTTCACTGCACCTGTGTTATATTTGGTTCATCAACTTTTTGTAGTACTATAGAAGAAATTCCGGAAGGGGTATAATCATCATTCATAATAAAATACTATCATATATTTTTTGAACAACTTCAATCTAGACCAGGCATCTCAAACTCGCGGCCCCAGAGAACTTCCAGTGCGGCCCTCGAACGCTTAACAATAATTGTAATAGTATTTTTGAAGTTTTTTTTATTTTATCTAAATGTAATAGATTTTTCAA